ACTGAACATGTGATTCATAGTCATTATTTGTAATTGAGGGACTTGGAGATCCTCATATTTTGGCCTATGAGGAGATGAGATTGCATTGAAAAGGACTGAAGCATTCCTAGTTTAGGCAAAAGCACTTTTCTGTGTAATCGTCACTTTAAGCTAGTTTGAGCTGCCAGTTTATTAAGTACACCTATGTTTTGCTTATACTCACTCTCTATTTTATTAGCAATATAGGTGCACTTATGGCATGTAGTTTCACCCACAGTACTTCGCAAATGTCAGACACCGTACTTAATTTATTCAATTTTCAGTTAAAACAGCTTTTAAGTACAAGTTACTAATTTGTCAAGGGTATTTGTATTTCGTATCTTAAATGTGGCGTAATCCTTACAGTCAGTATGCTGCAAAGTAATGCTAGCTAAGTAAGATAAGGTCAGCCTTTCTCACTCTTCACCTGCTCGGATATGTCCTCATCCTCCTTAAGTAGCTTTATCATTGTTATCTTCTCAGTGCCACTTTATTACCCAGTCATATATTTATTATACCCAGTTAGTATCAATGGAAAGAGGCCACCATAGGTCCACTACTAACCAGGTATTGTTTGGGAGGTGGATCATTCTCAGCACAGCAATAACATTGACATGGTAGTATCACAGTAGTGGATGTGGTGCTCATATGAGTGTTTACTGGGATTTTCATTGGCCTCTTTTCCACTGCAGGGCCGAACGGTTCTGAGCATGGACGGTAACCGTTCCAGTGTCGTTTCCACACAGACGCGCTAATGCTAATGTAGCTAGTTAAATGGCTACAGGTGAAACTCACGACAGTTCAGGCTGTTTCAGTAACAGATGCTCAAATAACACAGTATTTCCTGGTTATGATTTAGTGGTACAACAGATGGCAACAGAAACCGTAACTGGTCTCACAAGTCCGGACCGGCGTGGTACAGCCCAGTGCGGCCCTGAGAACCATTTGGCTCGATAGTGAAAAAGCGGCCAACGAGCAGCGGTTACCAACCCTGGTTCTGAACCTGGTTCTGCCTTCCTGCAGAGTCACATTATGCCACACCTTCTCCAGGTAATGAACTTTTTCAGAAGTTCTTGATTGGCTTGAGCAGATCGTATAAGGTGGGGGGCAGCATGTTAGATGTAAGCTAGAACTAAATTGTGCTGGAAAGTAGATCTCCAAAAGGAGAGTTGGTAACCACAGCCTTAGGGTTTCCTCTTGCAATCTGGTACATGATCCCCATATACAGTATATATCAACAACACTATGAATTTTGTCCAGCGTTTTCAGACTATGGAGTTTCTCCATATTTGCAATATAAATTTATAGTGTCAACAAAGTAAAGCTCAACACAGCGATTAACAGCAATCAGCAGCAATGTCAAGCAGGGTGACTGGTTTTAGACAGTTGGTGTGACCACAGTTCATTTCAAAAAAATGAATGTGGAACAAAGTGTCATCCTGTAACGTGATGTACTCACACCATGTTGTAAATGTTGAAAAACAGACACCTATTTTTTTTCAGGAAAACTGAGCCTGATTTTTCCACTGGCCCTTAATGAGACATGCATGCTGAGCATATGTGTGCTTCAGCTTAAGTACCACCTTTGCTCTATCCATATATCCATGGTGATTAGGGTCTCCAGGGCAAAAGCCGACCCTTGATCAGCTCTTTAGGGAGCCTGATAAGGTCCTACTGAGATTAGGATATCAGCTGTTGCACTTTACATCCTAACGAGTACACTTCATATGGACAGTGGAGGCCTGATCCTCAACCTATGACACTTGATACAGTAAAATCACACTGCACACTCAAAGACCTGACTTGGTGGATTTTCAGTGCATAGATCAATGAGCTCTGGAGCATTACAACACTGCAGGTTGGTGCTTCAGTTGCTTCAACACACAACACCTACTGTCACGTGTTTATAAGGTACTTTCTGTGAGGGACCTTTTTAGAGGTGGATGCCTGGTTCCTATCACCACCACTGTGAGCAATTCTGACTCTGTAAGTTTATCTAGAACAGAGCATTTCACACCAAACAACTCTGAGTGAGTTTGTTTACATCTCAGTCATTCAATAATACTGAAATTCTAAAAATTCTGACATTGTTCAAAACACGAATTTCTTGTTTTCAGAAAAGTAGATGACGTCTGAGCTTGTTAGAAGAACCAGGTTATATAGGGTATATACACACTTAAAAATGATGGTTCTTCAAGGGTTCTTCAGTTAAGAAAATGGATCTATGTAGAACCATCAACACTTTGCATGATTAAATAGTTCTCTGTATCGTGACAGCGTTATTCAGATTGATGGAAAATGTGTTGTTGAGGGTTCTATATAGAACCTTTTCGAAAAGGGTTCTATTGTAACAAGCCTGACATCGTAACAATAGAAGAACCCTTTTAAAAAGGTTCTATATAAAACCAGCAGCACATTCTCCATCAATCTGAAGAACACTTTTACAATGCAAAGAACCATTTAATCATGAAAGGGTTCTTTGAATGTTCATGGTTCATTTTTTTTTTTTTTACTAAAGAACCCTTGAAGAACCATATATATATATATATATATATATATATATATAGATAGATAGATAGATAGATAGATAAATAGATAGATAGATAGATAGATAGATGAAAATCAGAAGCGCCTCTCTCCAACGAGGATCATGAGCGCAGGCTTTCCTGGGAAACCAACAGTGACGTCACTCAGGGAGTGCCACTGAATCACACTGATGTGAGTAATAAAAACACAGAGAACTTGATGAGCGTGCAGAAAATCACACATACCATGCTTATTTCCTAACAGCTGTACAAAGAGTTTCTCAATGCAGTTAAAATACGCCAGGAAAAACTCTATAGTCTGTATAGTAGAACAGATTTGAAACACCACCCATTTCCCAGCAGATACAGTTAATGAGCCACACTGGATGGTCTTAGTATTTCAAGGATAAACATAATTAATTTTCTATTTTTTGTTCTTGTTTTAGCTCTGTACTTTAGCACACTGGATGTAAAGTGAATGGTTAGAATGCCAGCTTTAATCCACAAGGGAAAATCCTGAATAGAAGAGTGCAGAAACATACACTGACCGGCTACTTAAGTCCACCTCCTTGTTTCTACGCTCACTGTCCATTTTATCAGCTCCATTTACCGTATAGGAGCACTTTGTAGTTCTACAATCACAGACTGTAGTCCATCTGTTTCTCTACATACTTTGTTAGCCCCCTTTTACCCTGTTCTTTAATGGTCCGGACCCCCACAGAGCAGGTATTATTTGGGTGGTTGGTCACCATACATGCCCACACCACCATTCATGGATGAGATGGTTCTCATTCCATCACTGTTACGGCTCACCAGTGGGTTGCATCTTGTGGTCCCCCCCGTGCTGGTGTTTTCTTCTCTTTAACACACCTGGTGTGCATCCTGGGGGGTTGTTTTTGGTCTTGATCTGTTCCTTAGTTTGTCTTAGCATTGACCAATAGAATGGGACACTCTGGAGCAGCCACACAAGCCTAAGGTCACCATGGCCAATGCTAAGCTTCAGCTAGAGAGGTATGAAGGCCCCCAGCACTGGGCTCTGGATCAGTGGACCTGCATTCTCTGGAGTGATGGAGCTCCTTTGGGTTGAGTTGGAGTGGAGTTTTGGATCCTGAACTAATCGTCCGACTTCAGTACCGGTACCTCACTAATGCCCTTATGGCTGAATGCGATCAAATCCTCACAGCAATGTTCCAACATCTAGTGTAAAGCCTTCCCAAAAGAGTAGAGACGGTTACTGCAGCAAAGTGGGGACAAATGACCTATTAATACCTCTGATTTCAGAAGAAACTCTGGATGAGCAGGTGTCTACAAACTTTTGGACGTATTGTGCAGTTAACACAACAGAGATGTAAGTACTCTCAGATTATGTGTTGTGTAACAGAGCAATTACATACAGCCTGCACTGTATTTATTATAATAGTTGGTTAGCAGTAATAATTTAATTCATAATTCTTATAATGTGTTTGTTTAATAGTATTAGCTTGTAAACTATAAAAAGGTGAAACAGTCCCAGTAATCAATCACCACAACTGTCGTTTTTTAACACTGTAAAACTGTCGTCTAGGATAAACATTAAACCAACAATGCTTTCACAAGGCAAATATATAAGCATAATTTGCAAGCATAATTTTTTTTCTAATATTTAGTAAAGCATCCAGTTGCCTTAATAACAGCACTAATCCTATCATGAACTTTGGGCTTCATGTCCAAGCAGAACACAATACTGACACTCCTGCATTCCAGGATGACAACTGTAGGGTGTTTGTATGTGACTGGTTCAATAGAAATTATGGAGGGGAGCGTGTGAACACTGGGACAGTAAGACTGAGCACAGAAATCACCAGGACTAGGTTTAGTTAACACTAGATAGTTTCAAATTATAATAATAATGTTCGCCACCAATCAACAAACCCACTGGCATGGAAACATGACGCCAGCTTGCACTGACTTTTTCCATGGATAAAATATCCAGTATAGAAGAGAACGATGTGTAAATAAACTAAATAAAGTCACCCATAGCCATTGTCTGTTTATTCTTTAATATTTCTGTGCGACACCTGAACATGTAGCTTTTTTTAAACAATGTCAGAGAAGACTGGACTACATTGGACAGGAACTGTCTCAAGAGACGGGTGGAATCCTTGCCCAACAGGACTGTTATTAACACAGGGGGACACATAACCAACTAGTAGAAAAGAAATGTATGTGACTAATTGTTTTGTGCTGTGAGCTTACATTAAACATAGACAGTGAAAATCCTTTGACTGCAAAATGTCTTCAGAGGTAATTTTGTTCAGAAGCCTCCAAACTCCCCCTGGGATTCTGTGTCCAGCTGAAAAACAACTGTAATTTTCACCATTAAAAGCTTAAAGAACAATTACCGAACTCTACAAACCCATTGGAAAAGCAGCCTTCTTTGGGGTTCATTTGGAGTAATGAAACTGAATTCAGCAATAATAACGGACACAATGGACGTTGCTTTATTTTCCTGTAGCCTCTGTATCACATTCATTGCAATCACTGTCCAGTTCACCAAAATCATCCTCCTCTTCATCGTCAAAATCGTCATCGTCCTCATCTGTCCTATGAGGGTCTCGTTTCTTCTGCCTGTTGCTTTGCCTTTGCTGGCCTGCTTCCTCCTCCTCCTCCTCCTTCCTGTTCAACCTATAACAGACATACATTACAGTTTAGGGCAGGGCTCATCAGCTCCAGTCCTGGAGGGCTGGTGTCCAGCACAGTCTCACATGGACGCTTTGAAGAGAAACCAGAAACATCATCCTGTCCTAATAAATGGAACTTTATGATTGGTTGTAAGTAATAAATGAAGGCATGCAAAAACCATTAGTACTAAATGAACCTCTGAAGGCAATGGAAATACGTAAAACAGGAAACTGAGCCAAAGAATAAAAGGACCATACAGATTGTAACGATTTCTACAGCAGAGCGACCGCAAGACCCTACAGCGCATAGTGAGGACAGCTGAGAAGATCATCGGGGTCTCTCTCCCCTCCATCACTGCCAGACTCTGCAACAGCTTTGTCCCTCAAGCAACTCAACTGAACTAAATACCCCCTGAACTAAATATTGTATTGGTTCTAGCTTAATTTTTGTTTGCATTTACACTTATGTCTGCACGTTCGCACTTTGTAATTTTGTACTTTTGTTCTTTGTTGCACTGTGTTGTAATTTCGTAATTTCATTCCACTGTGTACTTGTACATAGATGGAATGACAATGAACGCCTCTTGACTTGACTTGACTTGCCAAGTGTAAAGTTAAAAAGCCTGACTCTGTCAGGCTATGGGGGTGTGTTCATGGGTATCCTGCAGATCTGTGAAGGAACCATTTATGCTGAAAGATATATTCACATTTTGGAGCAATTTTGCTGCCTTCTAGACATCGTCTTTTTCCGAGACATCTACTCTTACTTCAACATTACAATGCCAAAAAACATTCTGCAGGTGTAACAATAGCATGGTTGCTTAATCACAGAGTGCTGGTGCTAGTCTGGCCTGCCTGCACTCCAAACCTTCCTCCTATTGAAAACGTGTAGTGCATTATGAAGAATTTTGCAAAAGAATTTTAATTTAGTAATGACAATACAGGGGGACTGCCACCAATTTTCCAACATTGCTGCACAATTGAATGGTTAACATGTAAACAAAGTTATTCAGAGTGGTTTGGTGTAAAATGCTCCATTCTAGAGAAACTTACAGAGTCAGAATTGTTCACAGATGTGAACCAGAACAAGACGTCCACCTTTAAAATCTCACAGAAAGCTATTAAACAAAATACACAATGTGCCTTTAAGACTGGCTTATTTAAATAAGCTCTGTTCTGACTGGCTGCCCTGTGTTGTCCTTCTTTAAAAAGCAATTAGAAACGCTCCTTATAACCTCAGCATGAGTGGGTGGGGCTAAACTACTGTGGGCTTAAATAGGCAGCTCTATGTATGTGTGTTGGTTTTTTTAACATCATAAACAATTAATTAATGAATTCCAAATGGGCTGTTTGCAGCTTAGTTTCCATATATGGACTGAGAAGTAAACAGTATGTTTTGAGACTTTTGCCATGTTTATATACCACATTGAACTCTTTTATGTAAAAGAAGTTTTAGCAAAAAATATTTTAATTAAAAATTGTGGAAAACGTTCACAATATGGGTTTTATTTTTTTTCTAATCCATTCATGGTGAAGAATACATGCAGGATACATGTTGTGAGGCAAAATAGTCCCCAATGACAACCTATTTTTTCAGACTTATCACAATTTTACCATCATCGACATTACATATAAAAACTATGTAGGTTCACTGGTGGTTTTGGATAGTAAATAAAATGGCTGTTGTTGATGTTTGTGTTGTAGATATGGTGACCCCTGGTTCTCATCACCACCACTGTAAAGAATCTGAGTCTGTGAGTTTCACGTCAATCCACTCTGAATGACTTTGTTTACATCCCAGCCACTAAATTATGAAGAAAATTCAGCAGAAAATGAACCATTTTCCCCCTTTATGTAAAGAGGTTTTTAGTTAGGATGTAGGAGACACAGCAGAGAGCAGAGCAACGTCCACCAGATGGTGCTTATGTAACATCTAGCCCACGGCTGACCAGCTGAGTTTAACTCCAGACCTCAGCTGAAAACACCTGATCCAGTTAGTCAAGACTTTCAGTAGATTCTGAATAATAGAGCCAGGACGCTACATCACCAGGACTGATCTACCTCCATAGAACTCCAGCCTTCATTCTTGTGTAGCCAACAAGCCCAATGGTCCCTATTAGACGTACCAGTGTCCAGCTGTTTGAATCATACTAAACAAATGTGGTTTTGTAATATAAAATATGTCTGCTAACAAATGTTCTGCACAAAAAAAGCATGCTTCTGTAATGGATATCACAGCATGGGCTCAGGAACTACTACTACTTTGACCGACTGTGGTCAATAAGCACTGTCCATTTCTGCGTCCACAAGTTATGACAGTGTTAGGCACAGTGGAAGTCATTTGTCAACAACATCCAGAAACACCACTGACTTCTCTGGACTCAAGCAGCTTACTTAAAATCGGACTGATGCACAGCGGAAATGTGTGCTGGGATATGACGAGTTAAACTTTCCCACTGATTCTGGAAATAATGGATGTTATGTTCTCCGTACATCTCAACTGTTACCAGTGTAAAGTTCAAAAGTCCGGGTCTGTCATGGAATGGTGGGGTATTAATTGGTAACTTGCACGTCTGTGGAGGAACCAGTAATGCTGAACACATTCTGGAGAAACATACGCTGCCTTCTAGACTCCGTCTTTCTCAGGGATGCCCACATTAACTTCAACATGTTGACATCAAGCCACACACTGCCCACATCACAACACCATGGCTGTGTAATCAGAGAATTCAGATGCTAGACTGGCCTGTCTGCACCTGGCTCCCACTGAAAAAATGACCTCAACTGCAAGGATTTGTGAAGTTCCACCACCAGCACAGCACTAATTTAAGATAATAAAGCACCGATTAGCCAAACCAGATACTAGATTATGACAACAAATAATAATGGGCTGCCATGAAGAGAGTTTTGGAAATGGCTAAATGAAACACTGACATACATAAAAATCAATATTTCTGTAATAAAATAATTTGCGTTCATTCAAATCTTAGTATTTTTCTGTGCATAAAAGCTTACTGCCCAGAAAAAATGTTTTTGTGCCTACAACTTTTGCACTGCACCTGCTAGCAAATACTAGCGATTTTCTGAATTGCTAAAACTAAATCCAACTGAAAAATGTACCAAAACTTGGAGCAAGATAGGATTTTGGGTAGTTAAAAAATACTGTATTTATGGGCTACAGCATTCCCTCTGTGCCATGCAAGACACAGTTTAGGACCACAGGTGCAAACTTTCAAGGAAAATCACATTCTTGGGCTGAACAACAAAGCAAAGTGTCAGAGGTTCACAGAGAAACTCATCTATCTGATGGAACAAGAAAGAATATGGCTGCATTTAGTGACACAAACCTAAACAACTACTGATAAACTGGTCTCATCCTTAGACACGGATAAATATTGAACGCTTAGCTGGCAACTATTGGAAATTTGTCAGTTACACTTTGACTGGCTATCCGGAACGCCTTTTTTTAATCAGTCCAAATGGAAAGCGAGCTTTCGTTTTTTGATCTAAATGCTGGCTCTTCACCAGTAGCACACAGGTGCCTGCTCTGTACAGCATGACAACAGTGAGACCTTCATAGTAAGTTATCTAACGTCTTTAAAAGTTATTTGTAATTTATATTTGAAGCAATTAGCAGCAAGTACATGAGAAATAGTTGCGTATTGCCAGTGGGCTTACCACTTTGTTCCATGGGCTTGTGTTTTTTTGTTGCACCCTTTCCTGTCAGAGTAGGTGGCTGGCCACGTTGAGCGACAAAACCCACCTGACTATTTTGCAACCCTCAAAGGTCGGCCTTAAGAGACTACTTATACACTGTTTGGCTTTAGAAGTGTGACATGCAGCTTTCAGATACTTACGGAAGGACAATTTCTTCCTTCTTGCCACATTTGGCACACAGTTCCAGTCTGAGAGCACAGGGCTTGCACATGATGTGATAGGCATCTTTCACTGTTTTCTGCAGGCATTTGACACTAGAGGGAGACAAAACATCAAGAAAGAGTCACTTTAGGATCAACAGAGGTGAAATAACTGGTTAGGCCAAGTTATATGTACTTGGGCACAATTTGGATAGATTTGACCCTTTCTGAGCATTCAGAAATCATCACACTTTACAGCTACTCAAGCATGTTTGTGAGAAAATAAATCTGCTTTTCAATCAGTTCAATTTCTGCCATTCACTTATGGCTGTTAATTGCTTTTTTGGGTTTAATGTTTTGGTTTGCTGTCATTTCATATGAGATTCTTGAGTATGACTTAGTATTTCATTCTCATGAGAGTCAATTTTGTAATTATGACTTAATATCTCATAATCTCATACTTATGAGATAAATTATAATTATGACATATGAGATTCAACCTCATAATTATGACTTAGCATCTGTTACTTATGAGATTCAATTTCATAATTACAACTTACTTTCTCATAATTATGACTTAGTATCTCATACGTATGAGATTCAATTGCATTATTATGACTTACTTTCTCATAATTATGACAGTATCTCATACATATGAGATTCAATTTCAGTATTATGACTTACTTTCTCATAATTATGACTTAGCATATCAAACTTATGAGATTCTATCTCACTTTACATCTTATAAGTATGACTTAGCATCTCATAATAATAATGACTTGGTATCAAACAATTAATGACTTAGCATCTCATAATAATGGCTTACTGTGTCATAACTATAACTTATTATCTCATAATTATGAGATGCTTTGTCATAACAATGAAATACTCAGTCATAATCATGGAAGACTTTCTCTTTATTAGGCTATGACTTACTAAGTCACATATTTTTCTCCAGTGACGAAAACGGTCTTCCACACACCTCTGACTGTAAGTGGTCAGTAAAATCTCACCATTTTCGAGGCTGAGTGAGGAATTTGTATTTGTTGTACTTGACTTTCCACTCCAGTATGTCTTTACACCGCTGACACAGACCTTCGTGGACCTTCGCGTTTGCTTTCTGGACAGTGAACAGACCGGAATTAGTTTCTGAAGAACTTACAATCAAACATTCATTCAGTGGAGAGTGTAAAGAAAGCGACTGTGAACTGGTTAGCTCCGTTAGCACCGTTAGCTCCGTTAGCTCGCTGCTCACCTTCACCTGCGGAGTCGCTCCGTATTTGTCGTTTTTGAAGGCGGTCGTGTTTTGGTACCTTTGGGCCCGAGAACGAGAGCCGCCGCCTTTCTGAGAGCTCATCTGGGTCTGTTTGTGTGTCTAATTCAGTAAAACAGTCTCCGAGGCCGGTTCGAAAGACGAGGCTGAACTATTCGCCAGCTTCTTGTTCTAACTATCCCGTTCCACCTTAAATGCACCAGCAGTTCCATTCTGGCGCCTCAGACGGTACAATAGTGACTGGGCACCATTTAAGGTGGAACGGAATAATTCGAATAGGAAACCCAACTTCAGCCTCGTGCTCGAAGGCAGCGTTGCTGGTGACGTAACGCGGCTATCCCGGATGTAAACACTGAACATCATTGGTTGTTGTACAGATTTTTTTGGATAAATAGAGAGTTTAAAGGGCCACACACCGCGTTTTTCTTGTATTTTATTTCCTCCTGAGCTCCACTGATGTGGTGTATGTGTGTTTATGTACCAAAGACAGTCATAATTTCCCTTTTACGTGACTGTTTTCCAGCTTCTCTGTATCCCTCATTCTGTATCCACACGTTGGCGGTAGACACTCGATATTCAGTCGTTTTCAATAAAGCAGAGACGGAACGTCCCGCCGCCGTCAGCAGCGATGGCCCGCTGACCGCAGTAGTGGGCAGAAAGACCCATTAAAAGTTCAGTTTCTCCAACTTTTGCTGTCGACTGCAGCGGTAAAATAAACTGGATGACGATTTTTTGGAAGCCGTAGATGTCAAACATTTCACCACTGAAGTCCAGGTGAACCCAAACAACTGAAAACCTGTATAACAAAAAATTAAAAGATGACGGAGCGGCGTCCTGATCTTTTCCTGCCTTAACGCAGTAAAACCTCCTGCTGATATTCTTCTGTTTCAGTTGGTAACGCGGTCATCATGCATTGCTCCACGCTGCTGTCATCTCAATAAATTAGAATATCATCAAAAAGTTAATTTATTCCAGTAATTCAGTTCAGAAAGTGAGACTCATATTATATAGATTCATTACACACAGAGTGATCCATTTCAAGCGTTTATTTCTTATTATGGCATACAGCCAATGAAAACCCAAAAGTCAGTATCTCAGAAAATGAGAATATTATATAAGACCAATTTAAAAAATGATTTTTAATACATAAATGTTGGCCTACTGAAAAGTATGTACACAATATGCACTCAATGCTTGGTCGGGGCACATTTTGCATGAATTACTGCATCAATGCGGCGTGGCATGGAGGCGATCAGCCTGTGGCACTGTTGAGTTATGGAAGCCCAGGTTGCTTTGATATCGGCTTTCAGCTATTGTTGGGTCTGGTGTCTCATCTTCCTCTTGACAATACCCCATAGGTGAGTTTGCCAGCCAAACAAACACAGTGATACTGTGGTTATTAAACCAGGTTGGGGTACTTTTGGCAGTGTGGGCAGGTGCCAAGTCCTGCTGGAAAATGAAATCCGCATCTCCATAAAGCTTGAGGGAAGCATGAAGTGCTCTAAAATGTCCTGGTAGACAGCTGCTCTGACTTTGGACATGATATAACACTGTGGACCAACACCAGCAGATGACATGGCTCCCCAAACCATCACTGATTGTGGAAACTTCACACTAGACCTCAAGCAGCTTGGATTGTGTGCCTCTCCACTCTTCCTCCAGACTCTGGGACCTTGATTTCCAAATGAAATGCAAAATTCACGTTCATCTGAAAACAGGACTTTGGACCACTGAGCAACAGTCCAGTCCTTTTTCTCCTTGGCCCAGGTAAGACGCTTCTGACGTTGTCTCTGGGTCATGAGTGGCTTGACACAAGGAATGTGACAGTTGTAGCCCATGTCCTGGATACGTCTGTGTATGGTGGCTCTTGAAGCACTGACTCCAGCAGCAGTCCACTCCTTGTGAATCTCCCCAAAATTCTTGAATCGCCTTTTTTTGTTATCCCTGTTGCTTATGCACTTTTTTCTACAATGTAGAGTTAACAAAAAAGTGTTGACCTACTTCAGGAAACGCTTTTTTATTTCAATAAAGCAAGGCAAACACACTTTCCATGGCATGGGCCCTTTAAAAAAGAAATAAGAACTTCACAATTTCAACAGATTAGTTTAAAAATAAACTAATAAAATTTCTTGATAAAAAATTAAATAATAATATTTTGAGTTTTTTTCTTTTTTTCGCATGCTTTTGCTGCTCTCACATTCTGAAACATTTATACCGAAAAGGGGAAACACATTTCTAATCGTGAAGAAATAATAAATAATCGCGAAGAAAGGGCTCAATCCCAAACGGCTCCCTCCTGCCTATGTAGTGTACAGCGTAGGTCCTGAAACTGGCTTCTACAGCCAAGTAGTGCGCTAAATGTTAGAGAGTTGTGCAGCTTATGGTTCAATAACAGTGTCTTATATGCCATAATGATGTTATATCGCGCACCATCTGGGTGCAGAAGCCCTTACTTCATGTCCTACATAGTGCACTACATAGGGAGCCGGGAGCCATTCGGGATTCATCCGGAGGATGCGCGGCCGTGTTCGGCGTTTCTCACTATTTGTTTGTCCCCATTGGAGACGCGGCGTCATCGTAGTAAACGCTGATTGGCTCCCGAGACGTCACTCAAGCCCAGTCGTGTTTACCTTGCGTCTGATTGGTCGAACGGCCCTCCCAACAGTGTGACGTGCGTGTTTGGTCCCTTCCTCCAAGAACCTAAGAAATCCGGTGAAGCGCGAGCTGCCCGGTTTCTGCTGCTCGCTCGCTCGCTCGCTCTCGACGCTTCGCGCCGGTCGATCTGGGGAACGGCGGCCGAGGATTTTGTCCTCTTATGGTTGGATTTGGAGTGTCAGACACGTTTATAATTGGGACCACATGTTGACGAGGCTTGCCGAGCTCCAGCGGTCGGCGGACGGTGTCGGAAGAGTCTCGAGGCGGCGTAGCGCGAACGTTACATCTCCGCAGCTCCGCAGAAAGAGGAGGAGGGAGCAACCGGCGCGTTGCTGCTGCTGCGGCTACGGAAACGTATTGGCTGATATAACTGACAACGGTCGATAAACCGCTGGATACATCGCTCCTCATCCCCGTAAACGAAACAGAAAGCGCTCGGTAGGTGAACTACATCACTCACAGCCTCATAACGAGATTCCTGTCTGGGAGAGTAACTCGGTGACCGGAGAATCCACCAGCAACAAACGGTGGTTTCTGACCGAGGGAGACCAATAGCGAGCAACGGTTTTTATCCACAGGTATCTGTTGTTAGCTTTTCTTTCGCCAGCTTCTTTCTCCAGCTTTCCGTTCCACCTTAAATGGCTCAGCTGTTACATTCTGGCGCCTGAGGCGCCTGTAACATTTAAGCCGTTTAAGGTGGAGCGGAGAATTCGAGGAGGGAGCCAAACGTCAGGCTCTTACCACTTGGCTAGCTAGTTAGCAGATACCTTAGACCGTTTAAATAACGTTATAAAGGCAAGAAACATAGTTTTATATTCATAAAAAAAACATGAAGTCCATGAATATGAACGTACGTTTGGTTAGCCAGCTTATATGTTGTAAATAAACTTGTAAATAAATGCTAATTACGAGCTAATTCTACCTCAGATGCTAATACAAACCCTATGTAAGTCCTATAGCTATATAGAGGACCAATACAGTCCGAGGTGGAATAAGCAGAGAGAGAGAGAAGTGGTTACTTATGTGTGGCCCAAACCGAGGTCAGTTCTGTCCATGTGAATGAATGTCTGCTGTTAAAAAGGGCAGCAGTGGTGCCAGAAACTGCCTTATCTCGCTTTCTCTTATGAATGAAGTACAGTTGCCCTGCTGAAGCCTTATCTACAGTCACTGTAGTGAATGTATTACTCTGCAGCTGTGACTCACACGGGTGATAAGCATGCTCAAATGGCAATGTTTCACACAAAACTGGATTTCTCAGCTGGAGAATTTAAGCCAAAAGTAAAGATTGTAAAGTTGGAACGTCCCTCGTCTCCTCTCATTGGCTAAATGTTTGCCAGGGAAGTTTAATGTAGTGTTTAAACACTGTAAAAGTTTCAAAAGGTACAGTTTATATGGGACATGGAGACTAAGCTGCCAAAATGAGGCCTTCTGGAATTGTTTTTGTGATGTTAGGAGAACCCAGTCCATTCATGTTGAAGGTATAAGGAGTGTTTCATCCTGAACTGCTTCTCCAATGAGGCGTGATACTGGGCAGCCAATCAGAACACAGGTCATTTACATGCATCAGCCTTAAAGGCACATTAACAGAAGAAGCCTGTTTAATTCTGATACCGAGAGGTTGGAAAATGGTTGTGTGATGTATAAACGTAGGAGTGGATCTCACCTCTTCTTCCGTCTTCTTCTGTTGGACGGTGTAGTTATCCAGCTAACCTAGACCCCTAAGGACGCTTTCACAAGAGTCTTCAGTAAGCTGGATAATTCAATCCCAAACTCTGGACTGTCCAGTGGAAACGTCTTATTATTCCTTTCCTAGAGATTTGTTGGGCCTCGTTTATGCCTGGCCTTATCATATGTCTGAGATCATCTGATCATCAGTGGATGCTAAAACCTCCCGTCCTCGCTGTAGAAGGATAGCCTGAATCAACTGTCTTCACGGCAGAGATGAGAGCAGCTGTGTAGCTTTTTGCTTCGTCTCCTCTAGTTTGTTAATACTTTGCATTAACAGTCCACGCAGTCATAATGTGAGCGAGAGACTGGCGTATTGTTGTGTAGTATACCAGTATAGGGGATAGAAAGGAATAGCCAGTCTTTTAGGGTTAGCCTTAGACTAACATGGACACCAGACACAAAAGGCTTGTCTGAGGTGCTGCCAGATTTGGTCAGCTGCATCAGATGGCATTGCGGTTTCCTTGTCTGAACAACAAGTCGTGGACCAGCTGGTACTGAAGCCTGAATGACTGTAATGTTTTCCACATTCCAGCAGTGTCTGGCAGTCGGAGGAGCAAGTGTGCGGGACACATGTATGACACAAATGACCTGAGAAATTCAACAACACTAACGTTGGCGTCTTGTTAGAATTCCCCATTCCACCTTAAATGGTGCAGCAGTCATATTCCGGCACCGGTACAAGTGCTTGAGTGTAACCATTTCAGGTGGAATGGAAAATTTGGAGAAAAAGTTGCCTCAGAAATTCAGACGTTACCCAGATTTGGCACATATTTTGCTGCAAAGCACTATTGACACAGGTTTATCTGTATATCGTTCAGTTTTGTTTTTGCTGTTTTCCACACTGATATATTTCAGGATTACTTTAGTTGTTCCTTAGCTCTTCTCCTCTCGGACAGGCTTGACTTTGGGTTTAACTTTGGGTCTGGTTTACTGTTAAATCCTGCTCTGTGCAACCCAGTCCAACCCCATTGACCTCTAGCAAGTCCATGGTATTTTCCAGCAAGATAATCAAGGGCTGGAGAATGCTAATGCTGAACCTGGCTCAGGTCAGAGCAAAGAGGATGCAACAGAAAAGTGGAGTAGCCGGGAATTCCCAAGGTCTGGATCCAGATCCAGACCCTCTCTAGTCTAGACTCATCAGGCCCGTCTTTTCAGTTGAGCTTACACGCTCAGAGAGGGAAGTGACTGTGTTCAGTGCCTCAGGGAAGCTGAACTGAAGTGTGAGTCAGTCTGATTCCAGTGCACAAGCACTTGAGCTGCCATGAATTGTGGCTTGGAGTTATTGCCCTCTAGTTCAGCGTTGCCTCGTTGTAGGATATGCAAAGTTGCGGGGAGTTCTAGTGAAATTGTGTCTAGTGAGCGTGGAGCTTTCTTGGTATCCCATGACTAACATAATGCTGAAATGGAGGCTAAGTGCTTTTTGAATGCTTATTTTTCCGTTTTGAGTGCTGAGATGGGACTAATGGGACTATTTTAATGAATGCAGGGAATTACATCACTGATAGTTTATTATTTTCTTTCTCTAGATTCTTTTTCTACCCTTGGATGCCTGTTAGGTTTAAAACTCCAAAGACTAGACCAAGATTAGTTGAGTTAAGCTTGTCCAAGACTAGGTTAATGTCTATTTAGGAAGGCCGTGTAGAGTGCTTTGTTTACACACAAACCTGTTTTTCATAATTTCTGTTTAATTTAGTTGTTAAGACGTAAGCAAAGTCATTCAGAGTGGTTTGATGTGAAGTGATCGGTTGTAGAAAAACTTGCCAACTCAGAATTGTTCACAGTGGTTGGTGGTGTTGGGAACAAGACGTCTGAAGAGTGTGTTGCCGCTAAAAGCTACCTCACAGAAAGTTATAACGTGAAACGTTTAGAATAATGCTGGCTGATGTCTGAGACACTGTTTTGCGATAGTTTAGAGAAGATGTTGGACTGAAATGTATTTTTAAAAAAAATGCATTCACAGCTGAGAGGAGCTGAGAGGTACATGAAGGACATTATATAGCAAAATAGTAACCAAAGAAAGAATTATTTTTTCGGATTTCCCATTATTTTATCATCAACAGATTCACTGGTGTTTTAAAGGAAATAAAATCTCTCGACTCTTGGTTCTTATCACTGTCGCTACAAAGAAAATCCACACGTTTTTCTACATTGGACCATTTCACACTAAACCACTCTGAGATTGATTTTGAATACATCTAAATGACTGAAATAGGCAGAAATCTTTAAAAAGTGGTGGAATGCAGATTCTCCGTTAAACCAGTTTTACTTTTAGGGTTTCCTAAAATCTATTCCTGGAGGATCATAGTGCCACATACAGTTTTGTGCTTCTTTCAACGCTACTAATTCATGACTCATACTGACTCATGATGGGCTGGATAATTAGCGGAGGAGCATCCGGGACTAGATATGTTGAATCTTGGTCTATCTTTGTCTAGAAAACCAGCAACACATTTTTTTTTACAAGAGAAATACAGAGAGATCTTGTTACTAATCTCATTTCTTGCCCCCCTGCCAGTGATTTTAGGATGAATCACCTCTCTCTGAGTGAGCTATGCTGTCTGTTCTGCTGCCCGCCGTGCCCGAGCAAGATCGCCTCCAAGCTGGCCTTCCTGCCCCCTGAGCCCACCTACACGCTTATGTGTGATGAAAGCGGTAGCCGCTGGACGCTGCACCTGTCCGAACGTGCTGACTGGCAGTACTCAGCACGTGAGAAGGACGCTATAGAGTGCTTCATGACGAGGACGTCTCGGGGCAACCGGATCGCCTGCATGTTCGTCCGGTGCTCACCCAACGCTCGCTACACGCTGCTGTTCTCCCACGGCAATGCAGTGGATCTGGGCCAGATGAGCAGCTTCTACATCGGCCTCGGCTCACGGATCAACTGCAACGTCTTCTCCTATGACTACTCGGGCTATGGAGCCAGCTCAGGCAAGCCCTCCGAGAAGAACCTGTACGCGGATGTGGACGCTGCATGGCAGGCTCTCCGGACAAGGTGAGGTAGCTCACTGTAGCTCACGGTAGTTCTTAAATTATTTGTCCAAAATGGACATAATTCCTCTAATATTTGTTGGGCTTGGATTGGTTTCAGATTTCACATTCAGGTTTTTCATAGCCTGTCTTTCATGTTTAACAGACTTTCCCGTACATTTACTCTGCCTTAGTTTTTCTTTCTTCTATATTCCTTCTCTAAACTGTGGAAATGGATTAATCTCCTTCTGATTTCCATTTTTTTGCATAATTGGTTTAAGATCGTCGTACAAAATATAATATAAGACAAGGAGAGCATGAGGATAGAAAAGGAGAAAAGTTTTACAACACCTACATCACACATGTGGAAAAAGATTGTGCCACTTGTGGCTGCAATAATTGTGACAGAATGCTTCCTATAACGACATCAATCTCTTACATGCTGTGGAGGAACTTTGGCCCACTCATCTTTGAAGAATTGCTTTCAGCCCAATTGCAGGGCTTTCCAGCATGAAGTTTGCTGTCTTGCCGCAGCATCTGGTAATCTTTGACTAGGCCACTCCAAAACCTTTGTTTCTTTCGAGCCATTCAGACGTGAAGATGCTCTTGTGCTTCGGATTGCTGCATAACTTGGTTGTGTTTGAGCTTTAGCAAGTATTCCAGGTTGTGAAGCAGCAAAGCACCCCTACACCGTCACACTTCCACCGCCATGTTTCACTGTTGGGATGATGCTCTTAACGTGGAATGCTGTGTTAGCGTTACGCCAGATGTAACGGGAACCATTCTTCCAAAAACATCCACTTTTGACTCCATGGAAGGCTTGGGGTCATCAAGGTGTTGTTTTTTGCAAATGTGACACAAGCCTTAATGTTCCTCCTGGTTAGGAGTGGCTTTTGCCTTGCAGCTCCCATGGATACCGTTTTTACCCAGTCTGTTTATCTCTCTTTATGTAATCATTATCAACTACATTTAGTTAATTTGTTCACTGAGTAATTAAGGGGGAAATTACTAATGTTTTTCCTTCAGTAAATGAAATAAAATCATTTAAAAACTGTATTTTTTATGTTTATGCAGGTTGTGTTTGTCTTATATCAAATTTAGTTTGGAATTTTTCTTAGGCCAACTTTTTGGCATTGAGGTCTGCCCAAGCCATCGTGTAGCACTAGTTCAAATTCGGGATGTTCTTAAAAGAACGCTGATTGATTAATAAATTCACTAAAGTGGAACGTCAACTTAATTTTGCATAGCTGAGATTTAGGCTTTTAGTTGTTTATCTGATGATTGATGGCTGTCGCCATCGCTAAAGTAAAGCTATTATTAGGAATGTCGAGTTTTATTTGGTCTCTGGTTGGTGCTGGATTGGTTCAGACAGAATTGGTGTATGGCTAAACTTAGTACTGTAGGCTGATTCAGACTTGGGCAGAGGAAGTTCTTGGGCTGTACTTGGGTTCTGATCACAATTTCAGGCCTGATTAAACTTGTAGCTCAGTTTGGCCCAGCTTTGTTCTTGGAGTCTCAGAGCATCTGTTCTGTTGGTCTTATCTGTAATCTGTACTGTGATCTACAGTGACTCAAGGCCTTCAGAAGCATATAAATATTACACCCAGATATGTTGGATAAGGGATGCTGCTTGGTCTAAAGCAATTAGTTAAAGTGGATCTTTCAAAATCCCTGCGTAATAAAATAACTGCGATGTAAACAAAGTCAATCAGGGTGGTTTGTAGTGAAATGATGCAGTGGGGAGAAACTTACTGACTTGATTTCTTTACAGTGGCGGTGATAGGAACCAGGGGTTGTGCTGTGTACCGTGCAAATACAGCCATTTTATTTACTATGTAAAGTGAACCTACACATGTCTTTGAGTTTTTATATGTAATGTTGATAGTAAAATAGTAGTAAATCTAAACAAATAGGTTTTCTTTGGGGACTATTTTGCCTTACAGTGCCCTGCATGTACCCCTCCACCATGAATGGATTAAAAATATGTTTTATGTCAAAATATTCTCAAAACTATCATAAAAAAATACTTCTTTGACATCATCAACATAACTTTCTGTGACGGAGCTTTAAGAGGCATTAAACTTTTCAGTCGTCTGGTTCCCATCACCACTATGTGAGTAATTCTTGATAACATTCATGAATTTTCCACAGAAGTGGAAGTTACCGTTTTGGAGATATGAGGTTTTGTTCCGACAGCAGCGATATGTGATATGTACTGTACTTAAGAGTAGCCTAATCACATGTAAAGCATTGCTTATTGTGGTAACAGTGGTCATTAGTGTGAAATCACTGCTGACTGTTTTTTAAGTAATCCAATACTGAACTGTGTTTGCGGGAAGGCCGGCCTTCGCGACTCTTCCTCCTTTGCGATGTGCGCATTTTTGCTCAACTTCATGTGCAACCTCTAGGCTGCAGTCTCTCTTTTGTTGATCTCAGGCTGTTTCAGGTAGACAGCGGTTTGCATTGCTTTAGTCATCGTTCTTTACTCTAGTTTTAAGCCAGTGAAGGTTAGACAAGCTGATCTTCTTTTAATTCTCTGCTGAAAATGTTTTTTTTTAGACATGCTGGAAAAGACTAGATATGAATATATGCACTCAGGAATATGTGACTTTCTTTAAACAAGGCAAAGTGCAGCTTCAAACCGGCTTCTTCGTTTGTCTGAGTTCCTCTCTACCCCTTGATTGTCCATCTTTGCTGTCGTCTCTTCCCTGTGACACCAGATTTGTTACTCTGATTCTGTCTATTCTTGCTTTTTTTCTTGTTTTCCTGTTTGTCAGTCTTCCCTTTTTTGTGCTTCTGTCAGCTGCATATGGCTCTCGGTTACTCCAGAGTGTTTGTTCACTATTCAACGCACATAAATGCACAAAAGCGTTTGGACGCTGTAGCTGTTATTGACCCCCAACCCCCCTTGAAGATGCCTCCAGCCCTTCCCCCACTTCCTCAACTATACTCACTGTTGGCTGACGTTGTTTTGCTGATGTTCACTTGAAGAAACTGTGCTGCATAGGCTGAATGGGGTTGGGAGGGTCAGTGGTTTGAGCTGTTGTTCAGTGTGCAGCAGGGACGGAAATTGGAATGCTGAAAAAAGCAACCAGTGTTTTAACGTTACGTCAGTCCCAAAGCCAGGAGAAAACTGGTTGATTTTGTTCCTTTGACATAGGTAGTAATAACTGTCCTTAATTGAATATAATATTAATATTGGAAAGTGTAAAGACAATTGTTTATATTGATTAGGCCTTTGAATTTTAGTCTTTCAGTACTTGGTTACATAACTAGCTACACAGTTGGAAATGAAGGTTCTGTGCAGGTTCGGTACATTTTTTCGTTCAGGTACATTTTCATTCGTTCACTGTACAAACAATGTAAATGTTCCCTCAGAGGTACAACAGTGGTTTTAAGGTCCAATTGTGAACCTTAGATAAATATTTGTGCCTTTTCATAATGGAATGTTTCAAAACAGAACAGTAAAATAAAAAGCCTTTGAGACGAGACGGGGTGTGTGGAGTCAATACAACGTAGAAAATATAATTTCAGTGGGTTATGGTACAGTTATGTTCCCTGACTAAAGGTACTGAGATGTACCACCTCAGTGACAGTTTCATGCCTTTATTTCTGAGTGTAGTTAGTCAGAATGGCCATCTCTAGTCTGGCTAGCTAAGATGCCATTCTTCTCATTTTCATGAATGTAGCATAAAACAAACAAAAAGCAAATCTGTCTACTGCAGGAGTCACCAGTCTTATCCACAGTGGGCTGGTATGGCTGCAGAGTTTTACCAGTTTTTGAAGAACCCACCCACACGTATCTGGACATATATATAAAAATATATATTTCTCTGTGTTTTGGCCTCCAGTCCACACAAAAGTGGCATTTTTGTTCTTTGTAAACAGATTTCTGAAGATGCTCTCCAGTGATTTTTGGAATATTCAGTTTTCTGTGTTTTCGCTTGGATGCGTGAAACTTCTTGAAAATGCTAGCATCCCATTGTTAACCTGCACATGTCTCTGGCTGCTGTTATTAAATGTGTTCTCTCTGAAATATGACCATATTGTTTCTGTGCACTCAGCAATTTAGGGGTGATTTTGGAGTTATCATGTTGACTGAATTTGGTCTTTTGATGTTTTCTTTAAACCAAAGTAAAGAGGCAACAGAATGTAGTTCTTTTAAGTGGGGTGTAAAAATACCTTAATGATTCTTAAGTTAGATTCTAATGAAATCCTTACGTCATAATTCGAAAGGGGTGAAAAGGTAGAAAAGCTTGGCTGATCGGGACTGTATGGATGACTGTATGGACCGTGGTTTAGCCATGGCAACTTAAACAACACCACGACAGCAAGCAGAAGGCTTTCTTTCACTTGTTGAAGCTTTTATTTTCGGGCAGCAATCAGACTTTGAATCTGTGTGAATTTTGAGTTACAGAGGTCATGCAATGTTTTTACCAAGCCTCTGTCACATTGTCTCTGCTTTAGCTTTGCGGCTTGCTTTATATTTTGCACACAGTGTTCTTCCTGAGGTGTAAGACATCAAATATTAAGCCATATTATCGCCCCCTGCTGTGCCGTCACGCTTGTGCGAGCGTTGTTGAGTCTCATGTAGACAAACAGATTTTCAAAAATGTTACTGTGTGGACGAAGAAAAAACTAAAACGAGTGGAATAGTGTGTGCTTCCGCTTGATTACAGTAAAAATCTATAGCCACACCGGGCCTTCATGGGCGAAGCTTGGTGACCACTGATTCAATGCATACTTTAACCTAACAAGGTTTTATGTTAAAGCATTTATTGTCGGTTTAATTTGTGCCCTGGTGTGCACTCCTAGCAGAAACGCCTCATTTTAGGATGGTTAAAAGCGATCACATAATCAAACCGCTAAGATGTAAAATAAGTCATTCAGAGTGGTTTGGTGTGATCCTATCATTCTAGAGAGACTTACCAAGTCAGAATTGTTCACAGTGGTGGTAACCAGACATGAGTTTAATGGAAAATTCCACTGCTTTTTAGTAAAAGTACATCATTTAGTCATTTAAGT